ATATATAACATATATATAACAAATAACATATATATATATATCAGCTCAACTGCGCTTAATACCAAAATGTGCTTGCCAGACCTAACCTGTTAATGGCTGGTTGCTGACAGCTGTGATAGCTTATTTTGAAGAAAGTAAGGTCTCAGAGCGGTCACGGCGGCGGTAGATGAAACATGAGTTCAACTCCAGCCTTAAGCCCAAAGTTTTGTATATCTTTTAGTATCCTTGGATATACAGTTATAACGACGTGACACTGCCATAAGTGCAGTAAAATAGAAACAATCCATATAAGAATTACACTGGCTATTCATGGTTTGGTAATATGAAAATCCGCTTTAGATATCCAAGCATTATACTATAGGATTGATTAGATGAATCGTTGTTTGTTGAAGATTAGTAAAGTTACTCGAATGCCACACCACATTATGCTGCTTTGACCAAACTTCAGCTGTTAGAAAACTTTTTCCATAAGGGCTTAACAGTCAAATTACAGCTGTTGAGAGACAAGTTACTGCGTTTTTTTTTCACGCGCTTGATGATTTTATATGTGAACAGCAGCGCAGAATTCTGAACTCTCAGCGCCCATCTATTTGTGCTAAGTTTAGGCTTGCTGGCATAGCTGTCCTCAACTAGAATTTGACGGTGTTTTTTGAAAACATTCCTCCCGGCAGTGCCAAAACATGCGATTGAACAATTCTCTGAATTCCGTCCTTTGAAAATTGGCTTTTTCTGGCTCGCAATTTCCTTCTTTGTCCTTCTATCCTTTCTGAAAACTGAAAAATAGGACGATTGTGTCAAAAAAAAACCCTATGGATCAAACGAAAGAATTAAACTGATCCTTTTTTTTTCTAGAACGACGTGGATATTGTGGATCTGGTATCATTCATCGACTACTTCATTCGCACTGCGTTCTTTCAAATGACAAACTCTGAGGAAGTGTTGTTGTTTCTAAGATCTATAGAGTCTAATGCGGTAGGTGTACTCAAAGTGAGTTTCCGAATACATTTTCTCATTCCGATCAATGTGTGGATCTAAAAATTTGTTAGTAAAAACGTTTTCTCGCCTCATTGCTGTCGTAAAAGCTCATCGAACATATGACTACACGAAAAGTAATAGGTCGGAGAAGAAGTTCTGAAAAAATTCTTGTAACTTTTTCGGATGCCGGCTATTTTTGTGTTTTTGGACTCATTTGGAAGCCCGTCTTGTCTCGCGTTGATCGGTATGTAATTTTTCTGCTTATCTTGAGATGGAGTTAACAAGCGAGCAAATTAGATTGTTGAAGGTGCACGAATGATACAGGAGTAGCTGTCGGGTTCAAATGCAACGGTGGCAAGTGAACGCATCATTCTGGCTTGGGGCGAAGACGTTGGCAAAAGTACGGTGTACAGGTGGTTCAGAAGGTTTGACAAAGGTGGAAAAAGGATAGAAGATTAGCCGCGTTTCGTACAAAAGAAGTTGATCGTCGAGGTGTGCGTTCACTTGCCCCTTTTGCATTTGAACCCAACAGCCACTCGTGTATCATCAACAAACAAAATTGCTCGCTTGTTAAAGCTATCTCGGAATAAGTAGGTACTTTCAAATGAGCCCAAAAGCACAGAAAATGACCGACACCCAAAAAAGTTACAACCACTATCCCAGAGCTTTTTCCCCAACTCATTAGTTCAAAAAGAAAGTACGCATTCATCGGTAGAAATCTTCTTAACTTCACATTCTCGATTTCTTAGGACTGGTCATGGAGCCTGTGCTTCGTGCTGTCGGCAATGTGTTGTATTCCTGAATGTACATACTCACAACTGACACCGCTTGTGGCAAAGTGGTTTACGCGTGGCGATCATCGAGTTGCTGATGCCATTCACATGTGGCTAGTACGGTGGAGAAGGCGACGTGAAGAGAGAAATGCTATAGAGAAATAAATTTAATTCACATGTGAAGATGGATTTGGTATTAACGGCAAGTAATACTTCAGCTGTGTAACAAACTGCAAGCAGTTACGGCTCAGTGGAAAAATATGTTATCACATTTCAAGAAAGTCCCGCGCAGAGGAAGATTTTTATTGACCTGGGCAGTCGTGATGGCATGATCTAAACTTAGTAAGAGCAGCGTAATTCATTGAAACACCGTTAGTATGCACGAAAATCCTGTGACGATTTCCGTTACTGGGGTTCACAAGTACAGCGCTGAGGTGGGCCTCTTCGTAAAGGGTTCTTCTGCGAAAGGAAAATGTGCATTCCCCTATTGCTGCCTATTATTTGGGTCTCATCTACTGCTAAGAAAACTGCGTTAATGTGCCATGCAAAACGTTGTCACCTGATCGTAACGTCAAAATTCAAGTCCTAAGAGGGTCGATGGCCCTTTCGTGCTGGTTTTCTAACTCTTTGGCGACATGCGCATTGATTTCATTATGTACGCAGACGCACGCTACAGACTGTATGCACTGATTTCAATACGCATGTTTTCCAATAACTTTTTTTCCCTTGCACAGAGTTTTTTTTTTTTACTAGACTTTTGTTGTGAAACGATAACTTATAGAACGACGATGTTGCATGAAGCGAGTCGGTCGCGTCGAACAACAGGTTTTGACATTACTTCCATTCCAATTGCTATAGTGATTCACAATTGTGGTGTACTACTCAACTATAAGAATACTGAGAGAGAAGCAGCGTAAGTTGGCAAATACTTGCAAATTCTAAAATACTGGTAAGGATATGACATGTTTTAAACCGTTAGGTCTAGTGCTATACGGGCACCTGTTCGTCCTATTTTAACTCATCAGTAGCTCCCTCCCTCGGTTGAGCCGATCCCCTGAGGTTAGATAATTCTCTATAAAGGAATCGACGCCGAGCAATAAATCACCTTAAGTCAGATGATGTAGTTACCTGACATTATGGTGACCGGCAGTCGAACACGTAGCTGTTATAATGAATCAACCTCTTCTGTCGACCGCTCTTTTATAGAACCGCTCAAAACGGTATAAGCCGATCTTATCAGATTACGTCATTTTGAGCGGGTCTTTAAAAAAGCGATCGATAGAAGAGGTCTAACAGTACTATGTTAATGTGATGAAGCATACTAAAGAGGAGCATAAAGGTTAGAGTTTTTGAAATTGATCAATCCCTGAGAGATGCACCATGCATTCGACTCTATCGAGCACCGTTTGAGGTGATCCAGTGTACATATGACCTTTACAATGACTTACGGTATCCTACTAACTATAAAACCCGTCAGGTACCACTTTGTCGGCTCAGAGGGGATATAAGACTCTATGAATCGAGACACGAGATCGGACCGTTGATCACATCTGCCACGTTAAACACCTACAACCACTGCGCCGCGTGCGGCTTGAAGCGTTGTGGTATATGCAGAACAATAACGTGCATACCATTCATTATACAATGATAGAATTTTTCCCACGAACTCTTGAGATGGCGACCTGAATTCTTACAGTTATCGAATAAATATTGCTTATTTAAAATAAGCAAGTTCCTATTAGCCAAAAGTTAGACGTGGTCTAAACCGGTCAAGCAGAACTTAGAAAGTTAGCGAAAATCTTTTTACGTACGTTCAAATCATATTCTGTATTAGTCACAGTTTGCCTTAGTTTTTAGGAACATAATAGCATTCAATTACATTGAGAACCGGTTTTATATGTTCAACATATGATGAATATTTGAGGTCTTGTAATAACTGGAGTATTCGAAAAGTTGCAACTTGTATAAATTTCTGAGACTGTCATGGCGCGAACTATTGTAATTTATGTAATTGTTCTAAATTTCATATTCCAACAAATAGGTCTCATATTTTCTACGCGAAAGGAGAGTTCACACGGTGATTGAAGGATTACTGATAAGTGGTCGACCCGTCTTAACTGGTAGCGCGAGCTCCTGCATAGTTTCCATTCGCTTCTCTCTCGCGCGGTTGCTTTCCATGGTGGTGGTCTGCTTTGAGCATAGTGACGTACACGAGTCCCATTTCGTAAATCCAAATTCTTAGCCATTTGTGGATGCAGATAGTCGATGTTAGCCACAAACTCGTCCTCATCTGTGTTTCGCTGTCAATCTGTGGATTTCTGGATCACGAAGATGAGATAGTCTTCGAGATCTGAGCTGCCCAAGTCGCCTGGACGTTGCGGGTGTCGGCTTACTTTCGGAAGTCTTCGCTCAAGCGCCCTGTGAGTGATACGCAAACTTCTTGACTTGATTGTAGTATCAGCTTACATCTCTGCTTCATAACAAAGCGCTGGATGACCATGGAATCGGACAGAACGGTGATAATCATTAATATTCTCAATACCAGAAACTATATCAAGGGATCCAAACACACTACATAGGTAAAACAATTGGAGCACACTAAACTGTCATGACCGAATGAGAAAAAAAAACTGCAGTCGATTTTTTAAAATGTCATAATAAGGACCATCAACGGCAATTTTCCTTAGATTATCATTTTCCACTCAGCTGGATCAAAGAGTGGAGACTTTGCAAGTTACGTGAGCGACGGACGTAACTCAGTCGATAGATCGTTGGCATCTTAATATAACGGTCAGTGGCTCAAGTACCTCAGGACTGAGTGTTTTGCAGTCTCGGTAGTGAATCAAAGGCAATTTTTATGTATCAATGGTGCTTATTGTATCAGTGCGTTAGGCGTGAATCTCACGAGTAACATGAGCCTCATTAGCTCATTTGGTGGAGCGTCAGACCTTTAATTTAAGGATTCCAGCTCTCTAAGGGCTAGTGCTTTGAAGTCTTATTTGCAAATCAATGTCTTTTAATATATATTCACCGTGTAATATGGTATCTTGTGTTTCACATGAACTCATCAGATCACGTGGAGCCTCGTTAGCTCAGTTGGTAGAGCGTTAGAACTTTTAATCTAACGGTCAGGGGTTCGAGTCCCCTACGGGGCTGAAAGTTTTGCGGTCTCACTTGCAAATCAATGTCTTTTAATATATATTCACCGTGAAATATGGTATCTTGTGTTTCACATGAACTCATTTGATCTCGTGGAGCCTCGTTAGCTCAGTTGGTAGAGCGTTAGACTTTTAATCTAACGGTCAGGGATTCGAGGCCCCCGGCCTGAAAGTTTTGCGGTCTCACTTGCAAATCAATGTCTTTTGATATATATTCACCGTGAAATATGGTATCTTGTGTTTCACATGAACTCATTTGATCTCGTGGAGCCTCGTTAGCTCAGTTGGTAGAGCGTTAGACTTTTAATCTAACGGTCAGGGGTTAGAGTCCCCTACGGGCTGAAAGTTTTGCGGTCTCACTTGCAAATCAATGTCTTTTAATATATATTCACCGTGAAATATGGTATCTTGTGTTTCACATGAACTCATTTGATCTCGTGGAGCCTCGTTAGCTCAGTTGGTAGAGCGTTAGACTTTTAATCTAACGGTCAGGGATTCGAGGCCCCCGGCCTGAAAGTTTTGCGGTCTCACTTGCAAATCAATGTCTTTTGATATATATTCACCGTGAAATATGGTATCTTGTGTTTCCACATGAACTCATTTGATCTCGTGGAGCCTCGTTAGCTCAGTTGGTAGAGCGTTAGACTTTTAATCTAACGGTCAGGGGTTCAGAGTCCCCTACGGGGCTGAAAGTTTTGCGGTCTCACTTGCAAATCAATGTCTTTTAATATATATTCACCGTGAAATATGGTATCTTGTGTTTCCACATGAACTCATTTGATCTCGTGGAGCCTCGTTAGCTCAGTTGGTAGAGCGTTAGACTTTTAATCTAACGGTCAGGGATTCGAGGCCCCCGGCCTGAAAGTTTTGCGGTCTCACTTGCAAATCAATGTCTTTTAATATATATTCACCGTGAAATATGGTATCTTGTGTTTCCACATGAACTCATTTGATCTCGTGGAGCCTCGTTAGCTCAGTTGGTAGAGCGTTAGACTTTTAATCTAACGGTCAGGGGTTCGAGTCCCCTACGGGGCTGAAAGTTTTGCGGTCTCACTTGCAAATCAATGTCTTTTAATATATATTCACCGTGAAATATGGTATCTTGTGTTTCACATGAACTCATTTGATCTCGTGGAGCCTCGTTAGCTCAGTTGGTAGAGCGTTAGACTTTTAATCTAACGGTCAGGGGTTCGAGTCCCCTACGGGCCTGAAAGTTTTGCGGTCTCACTTGCAAATCAATGTCTTTTAATATATATTCACCGTGAAATATGGTATCTTGTGTTCCACATGAACTCATTTGATCTCGTGGAGCCTCGTTAGCTCAGTTGGTAGAGCGTTAGACTTTTAATCTAACGGTCAGGGGTTCGAGTCCCCTACGGGGCTGAAAGTTTTGCGGTCTCACTTGCAAATCAATGTCTTTTAATATATATTCACCGTGAAATATGGTATCTTGTGTTCCACATGAACTCATTTGATCTCGTGGAGCCTCGTTAGCTCAGTTGGTAGAGCGTTAGACTTTTAATCTAACGGTCAGGGGTTCGAGTCCCCTACGGGGCTGAAAGTTTTGCGGTCTCACTTGCAAATCAATGTCTTTTGATATATATTCACCGTGAAATATGGTATCTTGTGTTCCACATGAACTCATTTGATCTCGTGGAGCCTCGTTAGCTCAGTTGGTAGAGCGTTAGACTTTTAATCTAACGGTCAGGGGTTCGAGTCCCCTACGGGGCTGAAAGTTTTGCGGTCTCACTTGCAAATCAATGTCTTTTAATATATATTCACCGTGAAATATGGTATCTTGTGTTTCACGTGAACTCATTTGATCTCGTGGAGCCTCGTTAGCTCAGTTGGTAGAGCGTTAAACTTTTAATCTAACGGTCAGTGATTCGAGGCCCCCGGGGCTGAAAGTTTTGCGGTCTCACTTACAAATATGGTAATGACGTTTTCGAGCCTCGTTAGCTCAGTTGGTAGAGCGTTAGACTTTTAATCTAACGGTCAGGGGTTCGAGTCCCCTACGGGCCTGAAAGTTTTGCGGTCTCACTTGCAAATCAATGTCTTTTAATATATATTCACCGTGAAATATGGTATCTTGTGTTTCACGTGAACTCATTTGATCTCGCTGGAGCCTCGTTAGCTCAGTTGGTAGAGCGTTAGACTTTTAATCTAACGGTCAGGGGTTCGAGTCCCCTACGGGGCTGAAAGTTTTGCGGTCTCACTTGCAAATCAATGTCTTTTAATATATATTCACCGTGAAATATGGTATCTTGTGTTCCACATGAACTCATTTGATCTCGTGGAGCCTCGTTAGCTCAGTTGGTAGAGCGTTAGAGTTTTAATCTAATGGTCAGTGATTCTTGACCCCCGGCCTGAAAGTTTTGCGTTCTCACTTACAAATATGGCAATGGTCTTTCGAGCCTCGTTAGCTCATTTGGTAGAGCGTTAGACTTTTAATCTAACGGTCTGGGGTTCGAGTCCCCTACGGGGCTGGGGTTTTTGCTGTTACAGTTGTCTCTTCTTTCGTATTTCACCATTTACTGGCGACGAAATTACCTTTAGTGACGATAAAAATCCACATTTCATTACAATATTACTACAGCTCGTGAAACCGAAGATTTTAACGTCGTTGTCAACGTGTTTAGGTTATTTAACGATTTTAGTGGAAAACATACTTTCGTCATTCATCCACGTCAAAAGGGCAATCCCTCGGAATCAAAAGTGCATTCGGCTTTCGAGAACTGGAGGTGCGCGGATACTTGACAAGCATAAAATTGCAACGGATGTACAAGCAATCCTCGAGACACAAATAGCATAGGACTTACGGACAAGATACAGGAGCACTCTCAAAGCAAGCATAAAAATTCATGTCTGTGTGAAATCCAAGAGAGCAATGAGCAGATAACATCCGACATTCTACTGAATGATGCTTATGGGTGCTACCAATGTGTTGTGTGTGGAATAAAAAGTGTTAAGTGAGCGTTCGTTTATGCGATTAATCGTTAAACCTTCAATGTTGCTCACGGGTTCGAGCCCCTTACAAATTAAGAATTCCACAGTCTCATTCAAAGATCAAATGCTAAAGAGGTCCTATTTTATTATTGTCAATGTTGTCATATGGTAGCATTATGTTCAGTGCTAAGCTGAGGCTTTAGTGGGCCTTGTTGGCTCAGTTGGTAGGACGTCAAACTTCCGAACCAACGGCAGAGGTTCGAGTCTTTTACGATTAGTGTGCTTTGCAGTCTCAGTTGCGAATCATGGACAATTTATTATGTATTTATCGTCCCATATGCTACCGGATTGTCGGATGTGTATTTAACACGTTAACAACAACGTTGAAATCCTGCGCGGGGCTGCAATGACGTTGTGGTAGTTTTCGAATGAAATGTGGATTTTTATCGTGATTAAAGGGATTTTCGTCGCCAGTAAACGGTAAACTATGATCAAAGAGACATCGATAAAGCTACCTTTAGCAGAAACAATGGCGATGCTTTTTCATAAAACCTCGAACTTCGAGGTAAAAGGCAAATATGCATTGCACTTGCTTGCATAACGTTAGCCTTTCTCATTAGCAGAAAGTAAGATAGAAATTATTTTACAAAGCAAACTTGGAGAGGAAAAAGTCATTTCTCAAGCCAAAGAATGACTTAAAAACAAGGATGAAAAAGAAAGAAACGAATTCATATAACACTCGAATTCATATATGTTTTCTTTCGCAGCAATGTGCTTTTCTCGTCGAACATAGATGATTTTCTTATATAGGGACATTCTCTTAATCATACAACTTTTTACGGAAGTCTCTTCTGCTGTATTCCATCATTCAATCACGATGATATCCCCTCAGTACCTTAGATTACCAAACGAATTTCTATATTTCCACTGCAAGGCGTAATAGTAAAGACTCCCGCCACGTCGCCTCACATGGAGCGTGCATGTCTGAGCTAATAACAGCTCAGATCGTTTTCAGCGTGTTAAAGGCTCCTGTGGGACATGTTAGCTTAGTTGGTAGACTTGAGACTTTCAGTCTAACCGTCAGTAGTTTGATTTCTTTATGGGGACCGGATGCTTGACCGTCTCACTTGCAAATCGAGTGCAATTTATTTCGTGTTAATGGCCATATGGCCGCTGTGTTGAGTGTGAGATTGAAGAATTGTGTGGACCTCGTTAACACAGCCACGTGAGCGTACTTTGAGCGTTGGACTTTTGATATACCGACTAGAGATTCGTGTTCCCTAGGAGGCCAAATTTTTTTTGCTGTCTTGCTTGGTTTTTTGGGTGACTTCTTCTATAATGATCGACAAGAGTAAAATCCGTTTCTGTGTTCGAACCTAGAATTTGATACTGAACCCATATTTTTAATATCAAAGGAAGATTTAGAAACATATACGGAGTTCATGTCGTTGAGCTTGAGTGATACGGCATGAATTGATCTTGCCATATTTGTTATTTGATTCTCAATGCGTATTTTCATAAACAATCTCTTGTGGTGGTACACCATTTTATCACGTATGCGTCCTTTTTTACTTTCCACTTCGTATCTAGAACCACCTTAGTTAGTCTTCTTGCAGACTGAGCCCCGGCGTGGAGTTGGACTGGGAACTGATCCGGAGTGCTTTGCTTGGCAACTTTGAAAATTGTATGGTCAAAGATTACTTTGCCGTGTCTTCCACGAAACTCGTTACTTTGACATTTACGATATATTATTCTACGAGTTTTGTTCCTTTTTACCTTTAGTGCGCTGCCTTAACTGTAAAGCAGTCATACTAAAACTTTTCGTAAACAACTCTCTATATAATTATTTCAAAGTGATGGTGAACTAGTGAGTTCTTTTAATGTTTTCCATTTCGCCTGCCTTCCGATAGTACCGCCCACTTCTCTATTAGTGATTTGACGATGTCTCGTGTTGATAGATCGACCTGCCTGGATCCACCTCCAGAGAAGACGATTTTTCGAATAGGTACTTCCACTTTGTTCTTTTCAGTTTTGGTTTTGCGACTTTAACATGTCTTTATTTCGCCTTTTTTGAGTACCCATAGGTAATATGGCAGCCTTTACTTTCAAAAATCATTCATCTCTTGAGGCCTAGGTGCTTTTGGTTTTATCTCATCTATGTCTATTATTTCTTCTTCATCATCATTCCCCTTCCATTTAGCACACTCTTTTCCTACTTTTGTTCT